CGCCTGCAGAATGTTTCTTTGCTCGTTGACTCTCCTCAATACTTCTTCGTTGGTCACTCGATCCGTCCACCGATCTTCTCTATTCTTCTCCAACACCACATTTCAAAACTCTCCAGGTATTTCTGTTCCTTCTTCCTGAGTGTCCAAGTCTCTGCTCCATACGTAACACTTCACTAGCTTCTTCTTCATCTCCAAGCCCAACTTGCTAGTGAGAAGTATCCTCTTCTTGACGAAAGCTGCCTTGGCCATGGCTATCACCCAATATAAAATTAAAATTATGCAGAAAAATAATGTAAAAGTGCACTCTATGCATTCCTTGCTATTTTGTTATTCTGCATGCCTCACTGGCTCCGATGTTCACATACTGCAGAAACAAATCTACTGGTGACATCTGTGCTGCAAATATCAAACTATGCAGCCAAAAAATGTTCCTCCATGTATTTTAACACAACATATTTAAAATCTGAAATAACATCTATTTATTACATAATGTAGATTGATGTGTGAGCAATGTCATGACTTCTGAGGATGTCGGCTAAAGTACGAGTGTGAACATAACAAACTAAAAAATACTGACCACATTCTAAAAGCTGCTGGTGTTCTCTTACCACATGCAGAAATGAGAAATGTTTTGTTACTGGAGGACAGTGGTAATACTGGCACATGCCAAGTAGTACCTTCCGCAGTCCCAGCAACCAATCTGACCCATCACATTAACATGTACCAAGTTTGTATTACAAGCTTTTATGAAAAAAATCAATAAAGCTGAATCTAAACTTGATTAAAGTAGGAATTATGCTAGAACAATACCAGCCAAAATCAAATTGACTGAAGAACTTTCTAGCACCCACCAACAGTAAAATCTTGCAAAAATCAAGTATCAGTTTTGAGATGAAACATGCAGCCCAGGAGAACACATCCTCAAATATATTCTTGATATTCCCAATACTTCAGAGGTGTTGACTCCAGAGAATCTACGTTGTAATTTATGAAACTAATTGTCAATATGGTGAGGAAGTGTGGGATAGTAATTTTGGTACTTTCTTGGATATTTGTGTATTTTCTTTCCTTCATCAGTTTGGGTATTAATGGCCTCAGAATTTCAGCATATACATAGTTAGTTCTCATTCATAATTTTAAGAAAATTCAATGTTCCGTTCTTCTTCATTACTACCACCAACATTGCTGGGCAATGCAGAGGAGGGCAAATTTCCTTCTGTTTTCACCATTTTCAACAAACTGAATCATCTATTGCTTTACAACATGCAAATAATACTTCTGTTTTGACTGTGCCACTGACTCAATCGGAGCAGGGCTATTCAAGTGAAGATAAAAGACTGCTTGTGAATTTTTCCAGCATTTTACCTGCATTCTTGAGCTGAAACATACAAATAGTTTTCTTACTTGTGTTCTAATTAGCATAATAAATATGTACCTGAAGTAATTAATGACATAATGTCTTGAAGATACCCAGCTAACAGATTGAGCTACAGAAATGCAAAATGTATCTGAGAAAACTGCAGCCACTTTTCATGCCTATACCAACAATAGGCAAATGGTTGATATACCTACCTGTGGAATTTGCCTAACTGTTGCAGATAATCAGATGGGAAATATGTCAGACTTAAATGTTTCCATAACTCCGGTTCACATTACAATGATGATGGATATTTCTCAGTTATGCTTTGAGAATGATGACTTCAAAATTCTGCTTATATGAAACAGCAATTTCTTGCAAACAGGATTTCGCCAATTCAATCTTTTCTGAAAGCAAAAGACACTAATTACTATTCCAGAGAAAAGGAATTCACAAGCTGTCATTTTCAGAGAATGATAGTCTGAATAGTCATAACACCACCACATGCCACACTGTACCACCAGAAACAAGGAGTGAAGTGATCATTCCATGAAAAATTACTTACTTTAAGAGCAAAATTTTTATTATATTTCATATTCCAATAACATTTTGCAAGCTTGTTAGGAAGTGACATATATTACCTTTCTGTGTCCATCATCATTCATTGCAGAGATGCAGCATTCTGAATGTGTTTAATTTTTGTACCAATTGAAATAAATTAAGTGTGGCTTTCATTTAACATGTCACTCATATTTTAGGACACACTGACATTTTTAGTCTCCTTTGACCATCATTTATGAAAAATCCATATCACATGAAAGCCTGAAGGGAAGAAACCACTGGGGAGACCTAGACGTAGATGGGACGATAATATCAAGCAGGATCTATGGGAGATAAGAGTTGAAGGAGATTGGATTTTGCAGGCCCAGGACAGGGACTGGTGGAGGGCTTTAGGTAATTCAGTGATGAACCTTCAGGTTCCCTAAGCCATCTAGTTAGTTACTTATATAGCTTACTGTAATCCTTTAATCCAAGTGATCAACATGTGTGTAACATGTAGTTACTATATATGTATCTCATCAACCTATTCATGTTCCAAAATGAAATTTTCCAGAAATGTTCCTGAATAATCACAAAATGTTTTGGGAAACACTGGAAAAAATAGGATTTGGCTGCATGTTTTTTTAAATAAATTAAGGTAAAAATGTTAATGTGCCCAAAAAATATTATGAGTGGCATGCCAAATGAAAGTCATAGTTAGCAGTTTCCATTTGGTACAAGAATAAGCTATCTCAATTAAGACCAGAGTTGTAAGCACTTTAGTGAATCAAAATGCAGGAAAATTTAAACAAAACTTTGAAATGCAGTAACTTCAAAATTAACTCACACAGGAAAGCAAACCTCTGTCACTTACTCAACAGACTTTGCACACACACAAAAATTTAATTGAAATGCAAGGTGGTCATGTCAAATGCTGTGTTGATTTGACATGGAATGACCCAAACATTCTGAACTTAATTATGTATACACAACATAGAAAATTAAACTTATAATTACCAAATAATGAAACTGTAATTTCTAGCATTATGACTGTTAAAATATTTCACTTACCAGCATCATTTATTTTCTTAGTAAGTTTTTCCCTCAATTTGCTAGTTACATCCTATCTTGAATAACCATGTTTGGTATTATCATATAAACTAGGATGCATCTTGATTAACTGCACTATTTAATTTTCACATGTCGATCATTTTCCGTGATGGAGCAGATTAAATGGTCACAGGTTAATAACAAATAACAAACAACCATTAAGAGATGTCACAGAGTGTTCAACTGCTAAAAAGTCTCATTCTTCAATTGAACAGTAGGTTGCATCAACATTTATTTTCAACTAAACTAGTATGAACATAGAAATTCTGTAGTGTTAAGCTAAATGCAACTACAATTGCAATGAAGTAGAGTTGTCATGGTTATGAAAATATAACACTTTAAAATGCCAAATGTATTTTTGGATACTTGTAGTTAACTGTCAGAAGTAAAATGAAAATAAAATATGAAAGGAACTGATGAAATAGGAAATTCTGCACATTTCTGTAAGGCCTGACGTTCAAAATGGACCATGTCTTCCCGGGTTTTAAATATCTTTAAAAATATTCCTCGTAGAGCAGTGAAGAACAACCTGTTTTTGTTTTTCCAAACAGCTTGTTCTTCATGCTGCATCAATGACAATTACAAAGAACAAAGGTGATATTACAAGGTGTGGAATTTAGTAACAATATGAGTATGTGCAGCCAACGGAAAGTTTGTTTTCACAATCTGAACACCTTTAAACATTTCCTATCCTATTTTCATTCATCCTCTAACAATATTACTCGACAGATTTTGTTATACAGCATTTGGGAATTTTATCTCCACTTTATGAAAGTATTTAAATAAATGCTTAGCAACCATGTACTTGTCAATGAAAGGGTTAAGGACTGTTATGAGTAACTGTCTCTTGTTCATCTTCCTTTGGTGGGTACAACATATCATGTAACATCTGCTGCACTCTGAGCTTGAATGCTCCCTTGTCTCTTTGGTTCAGTAACTTGACATCTGGCACAATACTCCTAAAAAACATTTCATCGGGATCTGCACCCATTAACTGATCATACTGCTGTATTGCTTGTGTACTTGGTGTTTCGTGTGCAGACTGGACCATCTTAAGGAATTCATCTACATTTTCACTTCTGTGCCTTGAGTGACTGTTTGGTCTTGAGTTGATATTTTTTGCAAGCCTTGTGTTGAGTTCCAACAACTGTGACCGATCCTCCAGCTTCATGCGCTTCATAATTGGTTTCTTCATTGTCTGGTCTTCCACTGACTCAGATTCAGCACCACTTTCATCATACAAGTATTCTGCCACTCCATCTTCAGGATTAACCACATCTTCCTCTAATTCAAAGTCTTCAGAATAGTTATTGAGCATCATGAAATTGTTATCATGTGCTCCATATGCTCTATGGTCACTAATTGTTATGACACTATCATTATCATCAATTTCTACATCAGGACCATACCGTGGTTGTATTCTGTGGAAATGGGAAATAGCAGCATTAGGATTCTAAAACAAGGGCATAAATTGGTACAACTTCAAAATTCTAAACTAAACTTAAAATGTTTCAGTTATTATGTATTCTTCGCATGATATGAAATGAATGCATACAAGGGTGATCATGTCTGTCTGTCTGTCAGCATGATTCAACTCAAAAACTGTTGCATCAATTTGGATGAAATTTGATATAGATGTGGTCTCTCACTCAGAGGGAGAAACATAGATTGTAGGTGTTTAAGAATAGGGTGCTGAGAAGTATATTTGGGCCTAGGAGATAAGACGATGGGGTATGGAGAAAACTACATAATGATGAGCTTAAAAATCTATACTGTTCCTCCAATATTGTCAGGGTGATTAAGTCGAGAAGAATGAGATGGGTAGGGTATGTAGCGTGCATAGATGGGACAAAAGACGTGCACCGGGTATTGGTTGGGAAGCCTGAGGGAAGAGCCCGCTGGGGAGACGTAGATGGGAGGACAATATTATGCAGGATCTATGGGAGACAGAAGTTGAAGGAGACTGGATTTTGTTCGCCAAGGACAGGGATCGGTGGAGGCCTTTGGTTAATTCGGTGAGGAACCTTCGGGTTCGGTAAGCCATCTAGTTAGTTAGTTTGATATAATATTATGCTACTGTGGTTTTCATTTCAATATGGCAGGCAAACAAACTTCTTGGATAACACTAAAAACACTTATAACAGAGTTAGTGAATGATACATGATTATAAACTTTTGGAAAATATAAAACTTTGGTGTGGTAATTCTTCATATAATGTAAAATAACAACAAGGCAGCTTCATGGGGGGGCATGACCAAGATTTGTTCCAGTGAACAAAAGTCCAGTATACTACCACAGAGCTAACTCACATTGTGTCACGTTACTGATTAACATTACTTAAAGAAGACTAAGAACACATGATATGTACAGTTAGAAACCAAAGTTGTTTGAGTAAGATAACTGACATCTATTAATAATAATAATTCTACTTTCAAATAAAAAGATTAAAGACTTTCAACATAAATCAAAAGCTAGAAAATAGATTCATTGATCAGTTTGTAATACAAAGTCATGGTCTTCTGAATCTATGCTATTCTCTCAACACCGAGTTTCTGATAAAAAAAACTAAGTCATTAGAGAAAGAAAAGAATTTTTAAATTAATGTTCACGTATTTCACTGAAAACTGTGGAAAGTGTATACATTACATTGCAATTTACTAAATTCTTTTGTTAATTAATAAGATAAATAAGTATTATGTTGAGATATGCTTATGTTTATACATCACCTGCAATCTATAGCTAAGCCTATGAGAACAACACTAATGGCAATGCCTCATTAATATATGTATTTCTTCAGCTAGCAGCATTAAGAATTCAGAACTTGCAAATAATGCAATTGGAAACACAGTGTAATACAGTAAGGACTACACCTTTCTCTTTAGTCTTGTTACTTTTACTGCTGCTATTGCAATGTTAATCACACCACTGAAATTGATACTGCAATATTTTCTCAAAAACTGTAAATGACAATTGAGAATTGCTTATCATATTAAGTTCTACAAATGTTGTCAAACACTTGGTTCCATCTGGTGGAATATAAATATGTGTAAGAGTTTCAGACTTGAAGTTTAGTTGCTGGTAGCCCTGAGTGACCACCGGTATAAGTGGTTCCCCTCTACCTAGTGCCAACAGCCTCTTCGGAGGTTGCATGTGCGGGTGAGGTTCAGGGCACCCTCATGCCCTTGGGGTGAGAAATCACCCCTAAAGGCGGATGAAAGGCAAGGGGAATTCACCGTATTAAAGATCCTCAGGATTTGAAGTTAGTTAGATATGAAGCGTACTCTTGTGAAATATTCCGGAGGTAAAATAGTCCCCCAAATGGATCTCCGGGTGGGGACTGCAGGAGACTTCGCTTTGAAGAAGAATAACTGTGAAAGACGAATTGGAACATTGAATGTTCGGACACTTCTACCATGTGGGAAACTAGAAAGTCTTAAGTTAGAGATGAAAAGGATGAGGATAGACGTGCTGGGAGTGAGTGAGATAAGGTGGCTTGATGTTGGAGATTTCTGGAGTGGGGATATCGAGTAATCCACACAAGCAGCATTGAGGGCAGGCCAGGAACAGGTGGAGTAGGAGTGATACTAATCAGGGAGCTAGGACAAAGAGTCAGTGAATATGTGCAATTGAATGGACGGATTATTCTAGTCAAACTCGATACCAAACCGAATAAGACTGTGATAGTTCAAGTGTACATGCTGACATCAAACCAAGAAGATGATGAGGTGGAAAGAGTTTACAAAGAGATAAATGAAATTATAAGGGGAGTATCGAGTAATCCACACAAGCAGCATTGAGGGCAGGCCAGGAACAGGTGGAGTAGGAGTGATACTAATCAGGGAGCTAGGACAAAGAGTCAGTGAATATGTGCAATTGAATGGACGGATTATTCTAGTCAAACTCGATACCAAACCGAATAAGACTGTGATAGTTCAAGTGTACATGCTGACATCAAACCAAGAAGATGATGAGGTGGAAAGAGTTTACAAAGAGATAAATGAAATTATAAGGGGAGTGAACGGAGAAGATAACTTGATTATTATGGGCGATTGGAACGCGGGTGGTAGGAGAAGGAATAGATGGAACAGTAGTGGGGTCCTATGGACTTGGAAAGAGGAACAAGAGAGGGGATTGGATGGTGGAGTTCTGCACTCAGCATTGATTAGAGGTGTGTATTACGTGGTTCCAACATCACCCACGCAGACAGTATACCTGGAAGGATCTCGGAGACAAGAGTAGATATCAGATTGACTATATTCTAGTCAGAGAAAGGTTCAAGAACCAAGTCAAGGACTGCAGAAGCTACCCAGGCCCTGATATTGACAGTGATCACAACTTGGTGCTAAGTGAATGTGACCTGAAATTTAAAAAGTTAAAAAAGAGAACTCATGAGATGTGGAATTTAGAAAAGCTTAAAAACAATGAGGTAGTGTTGGCATATAAAGATAAGACAAACACGTCCATGATAAATCAAACAGAGAATGTAGAAGAGCAGTGGGAGTCCCTGAAGAAAAATATGTTGGAAACAGCGAGGGAAGTGATAGGAATACAGAAAGCAAAGAACAGAAAAGAATGGATAACAGAAGACATTGTTGAGAAAACAGAGAAAAGAAGAAAGCTAAAAAACGATCCCTCCGAAGAAGGAAGGAGGCAGTGCCGAGCATTAAGGAATGAGATAAATAGAGAAGCAAGGAAAGCCAAGGAACGACATTTAGAAGTAAAATGTAAAGAAGTTGATGAACTGACTAAGGAAGGTAAACTGGAGAGAGCCTACAAGACAATTAAACAATTTTTTGGTAATCGAAGGATAAAATGCATTGGTATACAAACTGAATAAGGAATGGTAGTGTATGAGCAAAAGGACATTGCTCAGAGATGGAAGCATAACCTAGAAAAACTTTATGGAGGAGGAGGGTATGATGGAGAAGAGACACTGGAAAAGGAAGACAAAGTAGATCCAGAAGAGAAAGGGGACTGTATTCTGAGAGATGAGTTCGACCAGGCTGTAACACAGATGAAGGATAGGAAGGCACCTGGTATCGACGATCTACCAGCGGAGCTCATCAAGGCTGCAGGTGAAAGGGTACAAAGTGAACTGTTCCACTTAGTGAGTAGAATTTATGAGACAGGGCAGATTCCATCAGGTTTTAAAAAGTGTATCATCATTGTCCCACTACCGAAAAAAGTGTCTGCAGTCAAATACGAGCAGTATAGAACCCTCAGCTTAGTGGCCCATGCATCTAAGATCCTAACCACTATAATTTTACGGAGGATCGAAGGGAAGATAGAAGCGATGCTCATGGAGGACCAGTTCGATTTCAGGAAGGGAAGGGGCACCCGTGAAGCAATTCTAGGTCTACACCTAATTATTGAAAAGAGATTAAGGAAAGACCAAGACACGTATATTGCCTTCATACACCTAGAAAAAGCGTTTGATAGGGTCGACTGGCAGCTGTTGTTCAAGATGCTGAGGGAGGCAGGCGTAAAGTACAAGGATAGGATTGTGGTGCAGAGACTGTACAGAGAGGAGGTGGCAGTGGTGAGGTGCAGTGCGGTGAACATCAGGAAGAGGCTATCATCAGGCAAGGAGTGCGACAGGGCTGCTCACTCTCACCTGTCCTGTTCAATGGTTATATTCAGAGAGGGTTGGACGAGGTGAGAGAGAAGCTTGAAGGAGTAAGAAGAGTGTGTATTCAAGGGGAGAAAGTTGACATGCTACGATTTGCTGATGACATAGCGGTGTTGGCTGAGAATGAGCAAGACCTGGTAGTGACCCTGGCGGAGATGGAGAGCACCCTCAGCACCACCTACAACTTGAACATCAACAAAGAGAAGACTAAAATCCTGGTGGTGAGCAAACATGGCACGCAGGCACATTGCTTACTGGGCAGCGAGCGGCTGGAAAACGTGGAGTCCTTCATGTATCTTGGATGCAGGTTATCATCGGACGGAACGTCAAAAGCAGAAGTTATAAGCCGCATCAACCACGCGAAGATCGCCTTTAACAAAAAGGGCAACCTTTTCACCTCTAACAGCATTGATAAGCACCTCAGGAAACATCTGGTAAAGACATTGTATGGAGTGTATTATTATATGGAAGTGAGACTAAGACAATCGGGGAGGCAGAGAAGAAGAGAATATTGGCATTTGAACTGTGGTGCTATCGTGGAATACTGAAAATCCCCTGGGTGGACAGAGTGTCAAATGAAGAAGTGCTGCTGAGAATTGAGGAGGAGAAGCTCTGCCTGTGGGATATGATACAGAAGAGAAGAAACATCTGGGTTGGGCACATCATAAGACATGAGGGACTGATTAAGACGATCCTTGAAGGCGCTGTAGAGGGAAAGAACGCTAGGGGCAGACCAAGGTTAACATATATTAATCAGTTAATGGAGGACACCGGCTGCCCCTCCTATACAGCACTGAAGAGACTTGCTGAGGATCGAGAAGCTTGGAGAGCTGCTATCAACCAATCCTAGGATTGATTACAAAAGAAGAAGAAGCCCTGAGTGAGTCATAAAGACAACCCTTCAAGCCAATATTTAAATCCCCCCTAAACTAAAACTGTGATACTATTTATAATAAATAGTCTGTCAGTAAAAAATTTGCAATATATGAACTGTAAATTTATCCTAATTCCAATCACATTGTAATCATGGTTGTTTTAATAGCATATTGCTAACTCTTCTGCATCACTCACAATATCCATTTCACTTTCCTCATAATCTGATGGTATGTCAACCACAAGTCTCTTTTCGCCTTAAGTCTTCTAATTCACTCCCACTATAATAAATTCTAATGTTTTACCAGGTCCTTGTAAAACTTCCTTTTTTCCCCTCCAAATTCAGAATGTGCAAAAGGACAGGATATGCCACACTGCTTACTGGCTGACACTCTCTCTACAGGAAAACTCAGGTGCAATCATATGTATGAAAGAAGAAATGGGACGTACAATATTTTGAGGTCTCATGGAGCATATAGTGCAACAAAAATCCAACAGTTAGCATAGCAATGATGATTTGTTTTGGTGCCAGAAAGCGGCAACAACGTACCGATAATGCAGGCTTTTAGCTGCAAGTAAACTTGCAAGCTACTGGCTTGAGGGCTTAAAAAACATGTGTGGCCTCCTTCATTGTGGCACTGTGTGAACTTTTAAGAGGACAAAACCCTGAAGATATAGATGTACCCCCTAAATGTTAGTACCTGCTTACATGACTTCACAATTCAGAAGACAACCATCAAAAACTTCGCCACTATGAGAACTTTAAGTTAAATACAATTCTATGTTCTGATCTGAATATATTCCAATATCAAATTTAATTTAATCTGCAAAATGGAAATATTTTCATGATTTGCATCCATGTATTAGAATTGAAATCTTCCCACACAATTGTTGATCTTCGTGTGAAAAATGCTATGACAGTTCTCAATATTCCATTGTTTGGTAAATAACCATACCAAGTTTCTACAAACATAAAACCATCCACAAGAATATTTTCATGGCACAGTATTACAGAGAACCTTACTGAATCCAAACAAAGAAGAAAAAAACCTTACAAGAGTATATACTACAAGAAACTGTATCTGCAACAAGATATCTAAAGAATGACAACATGCCATTTCTTTACCCAAAACAACATTTTTAATAACAATGGTCAGCAAGAATTGCTATGCTTTAATAATAACCCGAAATATATGCGAGACATCTGAATAGTATGTTTCCATTCCTACATAACTTGTAATGATATATTAAATAACATGACATACAACAATCCCTTACCAACAACAGGGTATAGAACCTTTATAGGAGGCAATGCAGTTGGCAAGAACAAGGTTTTATGCCACTGTTTAAAGTCATAAATGACTATACTAGTTGCCTATTCCTTCAAAAAGCATGAAAGTACCATAATAATATCATGTTAAAAAGAAATTATAAAAGCAATAAATAAAGTGCCACAACTTAATAGTAATCTGAAAGCAGTAAATGTGGTTTAATTTCCTTTATCGTTAAATAAACAGCAAATCTGGATCTTGTGGCACAAAAAACATACGTGTTTCAACCTCAAGAGGTCATCATCAGAGGCAACAGGGAAATTAAATTGTTAAATTGATATTTATACTCTTCACAAAATGTAATTAAATTAAGGATGTATTGGCCTGGGCATGCAAATTACATGATGGAAGTAAGAATTCTTCAAAAATTTTATCAAGAAACCCCTAGGGAAGATATTTGTCTGGGAAGGACAGGAACAGATGAAATGATAACATGCGGTGAAGTGAACATGACAGTTTTCGGAAGAACTGTGTTCACCAAAATATGAACAAACACCTTAATAAACTAACTTCTGTAATGCAGCCAACAAGAGAAGTGTTTTATAATAACAGTATGCAAGTTTGCCCGATAAGCTCAGTAATTACCACATAGATTACACAACTTGTAATTTTAAAAACTTACGTTTTTAAATGTGGAATTAAGAAAGTCATCATGTTTGCCCAAGGCCATTTTATTTTTCTTTTGGTTTTTAAGTTTGTTTGTTGATTGACAATCCGTCTATAAACGCACCTCAGACTAGTCCATTTATCCCTGCATGCAGTTGCTGTAACAAAAGTACAATCAGTCCTTTCATTCTGAACAATAATAAGAGGAAGGTTTTAGCATAGAACAATAAATACTGTTCTAGCTGACACCACACTTCAGTAAGATGATGTGCAGGCCTATACCTGTATTGACAATACAAGCTGCAAATTTGAGGGAGGAATTTAAATTACCTCACCTGAATAACAACGCCACTGAACATTCCCATAACATACCACATGAAGTGTTAAAATTACAGCAATTATTAACTAGTGCAACTATAAAAATGCTAGCTTGTCTTAAAAATCAGCTATTTATTCTATACTTTCACTTGAACATGTATATGACGGGCATATACAACAATATGTAGATAGATTAAATTACACTATCCTACTATACTACACTTTTAGGTTAGGTTGGTTCAGCATTTTCTTTATATCCACCATAACTTCTGGGCCTGTCCCAATTCCAGTTTTTCTCGGGCTTCCTAAAACTGTTAATAATTATTCCCAATTCCTTCAAACCCACATTTGAAGTGTTACGTTTAAAAATGTGACTGAGAAATCTAAAAAAAAGTATTGGATGGATGATGATTCACACACTTCTTATTTTGTCATTTGCAAATAACTGATGATTATAAGTAAAATATTTTAAAATTATAAACAACACTCAATAATACACCTTGTGAAACTCATAAATACGCTGATTTGGATAGATGGGTCTACATCTAGTAGGTCTAAATTAAATTACGTTAAATTTCACAACACTACAATTTATATACAAGAATTGTGTTGTGATTTCATAACATTCGAATAATAGTTACTTAAACATGTATATCACAGATTCTTGATTTGCAGTGCACTGTGCAGTTTCTGTCTTATAAAGCGAACGTATGGAGTATCTCACAAGTCTCTCTACGACCAATGTACTTTTTAAGACCGAAGGAACAGTACGTACGTGTTTTATTGAGCTGTCTTGCGATATCTGTCCACAACGCCCATACGATATCGCGATTCGTATAATCTTCATTTGCTACATCATACAAAGCTTCTCTCTCTCGAACCAGAGTTACTAAGAATTGAACTTCATCAACACTCCACGATACCATCTTTACAACGCCTTTTTGTATTCTACGTTCTACTTTCTCATGGAAAGAATATGTCTAAAGAGCAGCAGCGGCTTCGAACCATTACATAAACTACGATGAAATTCATATTATTAAACGCACACAAACGAACGTCTTCACAGTAGTCAATCAACGATCGCGATCTGAGCAGCTGGTGGATTTCTTTTCTTTGTACCACCATATGTTCCAACATACAATGAACATACAGGCAATATACTACTATTATCGGATAGACACACTCCTGCGGTGTGAAAGTTGGTAATCTGTGGTGTGAGAAATCCTGAAGATTACTGTCTTCTGGGATGTTGCGCCATATTATATGGTACAAGTATACCGATGTTTCAGAAACGCTGCGATGAGCAAAACGTCAGGGTTGATCCGCAGGTCCTACTTACATACAAACACTAGACCATCGGTTAAACTTGGATTATTTTCAGTGTGAACAGATACACTGCCGTGTAGGAGATAATGCTTGGATGCTTATATGACGCATGCCTCTTTCTGCAGCCTTGTCAGGACATGTTTCCTATACCCATTTCGCCAACGTTTCATTTTACGTACAGCTGCATGCATGTCGCCTACAAGCCATTTTACCTTCCTTTCCTTTTGCCTAATACCATTTCATCTGTTCCACTTCACGAACCTAAATTAAATTGAACAAAACTGTTTCATTTCATTTTAAATAAAACATAATATTTTTACAAAACTGTATCAGGGGTATGTTGCCAACTTGTTAACAAGGGGCTTGCACTGACAGGTTGTATTTTCTGCATAGTTTCTAATAATATTAAATAAACTAAATTAACACATTTTACAAATCAGACGCCTGATTATCTGTACAAAAATTGCTCCTGCCTTATACAGTAATAATCACTGGTCCTCGTCTATTTCCGCACTCTGAAAGATCCCACAAACCAACCAACCGATAAGCTAACCAAGGGCGGAGTCCTCCATAAGATCAAGACATCAATCTTTGC